TTAAATAAAGGGTTTCGCCCTTTATGTCAATTAACAAAAATGAAGCTATAAAGAGTTTTGCACCACAAAGGAACATGCACCAAGCATCATCAAATAACCACCCTCTAGATTTCTACAAAATGAGAAAATACCAACTTCAGTGCAAGTGGTGAGAGCCGAGGTTAGGTAGAGAAGGAAGATATAGGCGAATAAGGAAACTAGCAAAGGTAGAGTAAAAAAAGGAGGGCTTCTACGAAATCATCACTGAATGAAGAACTCATAGCAACGATTGGTCCCAACAACCAATGTCTCATAGTACACCACATCCTTCCGCGTTCTGCTTGAAACACCTCATTCACGATGTGTCCCACCAGTATTAGGCACAACTCTAGCTTCGTTATTATGTTGGTTTGCTTACATGCATGTTGATCCACCAGTTAATCTAGTCAAACTTTTGCTACATAATCCATGTAGGTTCACTTGACCAATATTTTTGAAATAATGATAAATTCATTGCTATCCAAAACCACATGCCAGTCGTCCGCAATCCCACTGTAAAGTGTTCTCTTTTCCTTCCCCCTTCACCCTCTGAACACTACAACCATACTTTGTAATGTTGATCAATGATGTGAGGCTATTTAAGCCCTGTGGCGCAACTGACAACATTCCAAATGTATGTGGCCAAATGACAAACAAAGTAAATATGGTATACTGTTCCATCACATCCATGAAATAAACAAGTTTTAGCACAAACCCCCGCTCTAAGCTATATAACAAGTTAACAACAATAGTTAAAATCTATTTTACGACAAGTTGCAAAAAATAAAACTGACCCTAGGGAAATTTTACTTTTCCATAGGAATCTGAATGGCACTTACCCAATACTTTGCATTGCTAAATAGAAGGATTTGACATTAGAATGGCCATCAGGGGATAATAGTCATATACACTATCTGTATCTTTGTTTAGTATTAAACCTTCAAAAAACTCCTTTAAGCCATTTCATTTCTCCACACCCTAATGTTATGAGGAAACTCTGACATTGCATCCAACTGCCCATAGCTCTTTTACATGTAGTGCAAGGGTTTGAAGAGGTAGATTTTTTGCAGATAGTGTTAATAAGGTCAGTATATGTTGCCAATCTAGACATCACTCCAAAAATATTCTTCTCTCCATTACCTTCATTCATTCTATAACATAGCTTTCTAATTCATTTACATGACCCCTTTCCAAAATATAAATGTCCATGGTTAGCTTTAACTTTACCCGGAGTGCAATTGTTCAAGTATTTCTCAGAGAGAAACTTCACCTAGCTCTGGTTTCCCAAAATTCGTGTGGGGCCATATAGCTTTTTTGTAGGGATCATGCAACTTTGTTCGAGGATATTAAGAGGCACAATTACATAATCATGTGGCATTCCCACCTAGACATAACGGTCGGAACTAAAGACAACAATTTTTTAGCTAATCTATCTGCTTCGAAATTGTTGCTTCTAGCTAACAAATGAATAAATGTTGGATATAATTTAAATCAAAAAAACCCCAAGCCTTTATGGTCATTGTATTGATGGTCTACCGTAGCAAGTAGCTTTACTGCATGGACTTATTTTTTCCTAGCATTTTTTCATTCTTTTTTTTCTTACAACATGAATATTTTTGGAAATTTCAGAATAGTTTTTAAACGTGGGCCATTTATGAAAATCCTTTTTTTGGAGAAATATAAACATTTTTGTAGAAAACACAACAATTTTTTAAAAAATCTTTTTTAGGGAGAACTATGAACATTTTTGTAGAAAACACAACAATTTTTCTAAAAACATGAACCTTTTATAATAACCTGAATTTTTTAAATTAGCGAACCATTTTTTAAAATTGCAAAAAATTTGAACATTCAGAACAATTTTGAAAATATTTTTACAATTAAGAAAATTATTTTAGTTTCGTAAAAATTTCTCTAAAACATCAATATTTTCAAATTTGAAACAAAAACCAAATGCCAAAAAAAATATTGGAAACCATGAATATTTGTGGAAAATAAAAACATTTTTAGAAAATTGGGAACATTTGTTTTATTTTGAACAAATTTCAGAAAGAAAAAGAATAAAGTTCTGAACATTATCCAGAAGAGAAGCTTTTTTAGAATTTGGAACATTTATTGAAAACTTGAACAAAAAATTTAAATTCTATGTTTTTTTGAAAATTACGACTTTACCAAAAAAGGAAAACGAAATTAAACTTGGAAGGTAAAAAGGTAAAAAGAAATACGGAAAAAGAGAAATATTGGGAGACTTGTGCAAAGCTTTGGGTATTTTTATTCTAAAATTTAAAGAAAATTTAAAAAATCTGAACGTTTTATAGAATTTTGAATTTATGGAATAAATTATATAAGAAAAGAAAATTTGAAGGGAAGAAAGAGATTTTTTTTTTTAGCGGTGGGCAAAAAGAGATAGGGAAAGGAGAATAAAAATTGAAGTAAAACACAGAAACAAAGAAAAATGGGCCATCCTATTATTGGTTGTCCTATGTGAAGCTCTGACTGTTTGTCGTCCAGAGTGTAAAATATAATTTTCTCAACTTCATGGGCAGATAAATAAGTGAGCTGGCCTCGCTGGGCCACAGCGGACAGCTTATGCACGAAAATTCTG